TAGTAGTAGTAGTAGTAGTAGTAGTAGTAGTAGTAGTAGTAGTAGTAGTATAGTAGTAGTCGTAGTAGTAGTAGTAGTAGTAGTAGTAGTAGTAGTAGTAGTAGTAGTAGTAGTAGTAGTAAGTAGTAGTAGTAGTAGTAGTAGTAGTAGTAGTAGTAGTAGTAGTAGTAGTAGTAGTAGTAGTAGTAGTAGTAGTAGTAGTAGTAGTAGTAGTAGTAGTAGTAGTAGTAGTAGTAGTAGTGTAGTAGTAGTAGTAGTAGTAGTAGTAGTAGTAGTAGTAGTAGTAGTAGTAGTAGTAGTAGTAGTAGTAGTAGTAGTAGTAGTAGTAGTAGTAGTAGTAGTAGTAGTAGTAGTAGTAGTAGTACAAGTAGTCGTATCCAAGGCAGTTTGGAGGCCTCTTGGAGATCGTAGAGGGGCCTCTTGGGCTCTCTTTTGAGCCTCTTGGGAGCGTCCGGGGGCCCTCTTGGGCGCCTCTTGGAGCGTCTTGGGGGCCTGTTGGGGCCATCTTTGGGGAGATCGATCACAGATGGGGCGAGCATTTTTGTCAGTACCCCCGTCGGGGCCACGATCCTCGTGAGGGGTGTCGAATTTTAGCCCTCCCAGGGATAGAAAAAGGACCATCTGACCACCCGCGAAACCCCCTCTCCAGGTCCAGGGGGAGGGGGTAGGGGGAGGGGTAAACCCCTCCCCGAAGGGGAAGAAGGGGGTTTGAGAACAGAGAGAGCTCGCTAAACCACTCACGCCCAAAGGGCTGGTGGGACTTCCGCCACACAAGGGATCGATTTAGACCCCCCCCCAGGCGGGGAATCTATGTGTAACCCCGCGCAGAAAATGATGTGCGCAATCCTCTTGAAAGGGAGCCGACTTGCGTCCCCCAGCTAACTGAACTGATGCGCAAACCCCACAGAGAGAATAGATATGTAACTCCTTCCACAAAATGGAATGACTTCCTACCCCTTTCCCCACAAAAGAACATCGACTTGCAACTTTCCATCAAGGTAGTCCGTTTGTACTATTCCTCGTACACATAACGCCTAATATTTCGACAGCATAAGGAATCAGTGTGCAAATCTGCCACGACATTGGGGACCAAACAAGCTGGGTTGAGGCTGGGAGCGGGAGAACGAGACAGAGAGCGAGGAAACGAGGGAGAGAGAACGCGAGCGAGAGGTAGCGAGAGAGAGAGGGGTAAGCACAGACGGAAGCCGAGAGAGAGAGAGAGAGCGAGAGATAACAGCAATGTTTCTCTGTCGTGGGATGTGCGAATCCTCATGTAAAAGGGACCTTGATACTTACGGACCCTTCACGAAAAAGCGAATTTGCGAATGACTTCTTACTAACGGAACCGCCACTCTGGATCACTGTCCTGAAGTACGGAGCGCGTGCGACAAGCCACCAGTACCAAGGTGTTCTTACTACAGAAGCGTTGCTACGGACCTCTTGCTAACGGACGGATTACGAAGGACATAATAATTATATTAACCCTTGGCAAGAAATCTTTTTTGTAGGCTTCTTTGGTGAGGATTCTTGTAACAGAAAGGCACCTATCACAAAGGACTCTGTACTGAAAGGATCTCAAGCACTGCTTAGGCGAGACCCCCCCCCGTACGGATTCCTGTCCAAAAGGGTCCTGCCGCATGCCTAATGATGCTTCGATCAAAAGGCCCTTTTTCAGAAAGTCCCACTGGGCCCCTACTCATCAAGGCGTTTTGACAGAACCCCCGATCAGGATCCTGTATTCCAGCGGTCCTTTTTCATAAGGACTCCCTAGTACAGGCACCCTTACTGAAACGTCGTGGCCAAAGGAACCAATACTTCGAAATATTTGAGACGGGGATCCCAACAAAAGGAAATCCTTGGCACAAGCATCTGGGGCTGAGGATTCTGTATCAAATGGGGCCCTTACTAAGGCTTCGGCCTTACGAAGGAATCTGTGTTAAGGAAACCCTTGAAGGTGGATCTCATGGCATCGGCATCCTTACAAGAAAGGGGCTCTCAGTTGACGCGGTTTCGGATACAGACCCCTTAGTCAGTGAATGGGGCCTTTTCTAGCAATCGTTCATTATTACGTTGGGTCCTTACGAAAGATGCTTCGCTCAGGGGGCCCTTCCTTGGAACGTTTCACTTAAGGCATACGAGTTCAAGAATGCCTACTAGATGCATCCGCGATCAGGATTCCGTATTTCAGGGTCCCGTATTGACGTTCCCGTATTAGAGGCGTTGTTTGATGAGATCCGGGAGAGAGGGAACCAGTATTGTGGAACCTTTATTACCGGGGTCCTAGCTGAGAGAGTCCTTGGTGCAGGCATGTGGATTGAGGATTCCACCTTTAAGGGGCTTGCTAGGGGTTCATTCATACTCGACTAGTTGTTGAAGGCATCCTTAACTAGCATCGCTTGTTTGAGGCATCCTTACATAAAATTGCGTTACTGTCTTACTAAAAGGATTCGGGACAACGGCTCCTCAGCCGAGGGTTATTTGATCATTGTTCGGGATGTCTCATGAAACGGCGCCCATGCTAAATGATGCGTACCAGAAGGGCATCTTTATTGGGGCATTGGCAAAATGGATCTTGCTTGAGCAACCCGTACCCAAGGGCTCACAGCGAAGGTATTTGTTTATCCAGGATTTGCATGAATAAATTGATATACATTAAGACATTCGGAATCGAGGGACTATTGTTACAAACTACTTACCAAGGATCCCTTGCCATTGACCCTTCACCGGGTATTGCAAAGGACTTCATATTAATGACCTCTTACCAAGGAGCCAGAATCAGGAGGGAGGAACAAGCCAGAATGAAACAATGAGGTCGCACAGTGCCATTTTCAGGGGAAGCATTGGGGCTGACATGCGCGCGCCACTATGCACGCATGCGTGGTTTTATGACTGTTACTCTACGTGTATCGATTTGTTGAACTAGAAGGCTACATTGAAGAGGGATGAAAACAGAGCGCGAGAGAGAGAGAGAGTGAGAGCGAGAGAAAGAGAGAGAGAGAGGGAGAGAACGAAAGGGAAAGAGTGAGAGGGAGAGCACCATAAAGAGAGAGAGAGAGAGAGAGAGCGGCGTATATATACATAGACAGCAAGAGAGATCAGAGTGAGGGGGCCGAACGGTCATTCACTGTCCCTGGGTGCGTGGCTGAAGTGGGATTCCGCGGTGCGGATTCTCGTTGTTGTTGTTGATGTTGTTGTTGTTGTTGTTGTTGTTGTTGTTGTTGTTGTTGTTGTTGTGTTTGTTGTTGTTTGGTGTTGTTTGTTGTTGTTTGTTGTCGTCGTCCCACCCGCAACCCGCCCCGCGACCCACCCGCGACCCACCCCGCGACCCACCCCGCGACCCACCCGCGACCCACCCGCGACCCACCCGCGACCCACCCGCGACCCAGCCCGCGACCCACCCCGCGACCCATCCCGCGACCCACCCGCGACCCACCCGCGACCCACCCGCGACCCACCCCGCGATCCACCCCACGCCCCACCCCGCGACCCACCCGCGACCCACCCGCGACCCACCCGCGACCCAGCCCGCGACCCACCCCGCGACCCTCCCGCGACCCCCGCGACCCACCCGCGACCCATCCGCGACCCACCCGCGATCCACCCGCGACCCACCCCGCGACCCACCCGCGACCCACCTTCGATCCGAACCACGTTCAAGGTACAAACCACAATGTTCGGCGCCTGCGGCGGGCTTTTTTTTTTTGCATTCCTTCAGGTGGAGAGCCCGCGACCCACCCCGCGACCAACCCGCGACCCAAACCACGTTCAGGATACAAACGACATTTTTCGGTGCCTGCGGCGGGCATCTTTTTGCATTCGTTTCAGGTGGAGAGCCCGCGGCCCACCCGCGACCACGTTCAGGGTACAAACCAATTTTTTCGGCGCCTGCGGCGGGCATGCAAACCAATCTGTTCGGCGCCTGCGGCGGGCTGCTTTTGCATTCCTTCCAGGTGGAGGTGGAGAGCCCGCGACCCACCCGCGACCTAAACCACGTTCGCTGAACAAACCAATGCCGCACAAGCGCGGCGGCGGATTTTTGCATGCCGTCTGAGCCCGCAACGACCTCTTCAAGCCCCGCGCATCCACACCAGCCCGTCCAGCAACTTTGCCCTGGCCAATTGCCTTGATCAGAGAAGTCGGGGAGCATCAAGTGGAAAAAAGGATTGCGTTGCCGTTATATTGGGAAAGGAGGGGGAGGCAGGGGGAGTAAACAGGGGACGAGGAGGACGCGGAAGAAGAGAGGATGTAAAGAGAATGTGGAGAAAGAGGAGCAGGTGGACGAGGAGGGGGAGGACGGGGAGGAGGGGGAGGAGGGGGAGGGGGAGCACGAGGAGGGGGAGGAGGGGGAGGAGGGGGATGATGATGATGATGATGATGATGATGATGATGTTGATGCTGATGATGATGATGATGATGATGATGATCATGATGATGATGATGATGATGATGATGATGATGATGATGATGATGATGATGATGAATGGACGACGGAGGACGATGATGAGGCCGATGATGGAGGAGGAGACGAGGTGGAGGAGGATGACGATGACGATGACGATGAGGAGGAGGAGGAGGAGGAGGAGGAGGAGGAGGAGGAGGAGGAAGAGGAGGAGAGCGTCATCGACAGGGAAGGTGGGGGCCACGAGGTCCGCCGGCTCGACGACGCCCGCGTCGCCCGCGCCCGCCCCTTCACTCTTATCCGCAATTGCGGGGTGCTACGTACTGATATATACATATACAAACATACATACATATACATATATATATATATACATAGAAAGATATATATATATATAGAAAGAGTGTGTGTGTGACCTCTGGCCCATCCCCTGTGATCTCCTCCTCCTCCTCCTCCTCCTCCTCCTCTCCTCCTTTCCGTATTCTTCCCCCCACGAGGTTGATGGCATGTCTCACATCGAGTTTGCTCCTCCTTTGCCTTCGCATTGCCTTTCCCCAAGCCTCCTCGTCATCCCCTTTCCTTCTCCCCGCTACGCCAGCAGGTGTTGTTCATTTTGCGTGAGAATGGGTACGAGTGGTCCCAGCTGACGCCGTGGAGGGTGCCCTGGGTAGACAATATGAGGACGATGAGGATGAGCGGGAGCAGGACGACGCCGTGGAGGGTGCCCAGAGGAGGCACAACGGCAAGACGGCTGGACAGTCTGATCACCCGCGTTGTGTCGGCGCAGGGTTCGTGCGCCTCCCTGAGGAGTGCGGGCAGGAGGTCGCGCAGGAGGGAAATAGGATACTCAGGAAGAGTACGAGGGTTACAAGGATTACACGGGTGAAGAGGAGAAGGAGTCGGCGGTTGGGAATAGGAGAGATAGGAGGGGGTGGGGGACGAGGAGGATGGCGATCATCATGAACAGGAGGGGAGGAGGAGGAGGAGGAGGAGGAGGAGGAGGAGGAGGAGGAGGAGGAGGAAACCGAGGTCATCGGAAACGATGTCGGGAAGCTTTGAGGGAGCAGTGGGAGGGTGGTGGCGAAGGGAGGGATGAAGGGGCATCATGAGGCGAGATAGGATGGCGGGGGAGGGGGACGAGGGAGCGAGAGAGGCTTCCGGGGGATGACGGGGGAGAGTGGGGAAGAGGGGAGGGACGAGGAAGGGAGGGGTGGGGGGGAGCAGGATGGACGCGGCAGTGGCGGGCGGGCGGGGCGAGCGAGACCGCGAGCGGCGTCGAAAGCAGCATTATGGCGAGCGAGCAGGTCGCCCGAGCGCGTGCCCGACGCGCTGCCCCCCCCCGGAGGCTGCGCGCCGGTCGGCCCGCGCCTCCCACAGGTGAGGGCGCGGCCGCTGACGAGAGGCGAGGGCCAGCTGGGCATCGTGCTGACCATCCAGGCACCGGGCAGCCTGCCTCTCTGCATCTGCACGGGGGCCCGCTCTGGCTCCGCCTCGCCGGCTCGGCATCTCGGGCTGCTCGTGGCGAGGCGCACGGGTGTCGTGTTCTCCCCTCCCCCCTCCGCCTCCCCCTCGCTTGTGCTTCCGCTGCCCCTTCCGCTCCTTCTCCCTCTCCGGCTCCATCTCCTCTCCTCCTCTTTCTTGTTTCTCTTCCTCGTGTTCCCCCTCCTTTTCCTCTTCCTCCTCTTCCTGCTCCTTCGCCCCCTGCCTTGGAATCACTGATCGCTTTTGCCCCATCTGCTCCAGCTTCCCGTCCTGGTAACGCTCTGTGTTTGCTGTGAGGTTCCGTACCCTCGTCGGTGGAATAGGTTGAGCTCTATGCTCTTCGGCGGCGGATCTGCAGTAAGCTTGCACGTTCGGGTGCAACTCCTGAGATGTCAAGTTCTGATCTTGCCCTGGTCCGAAGCACGGCTAACTCCCGTTCCATGTGGTTTAACCCCGCTTGATCCGCGGCCTAACCCAGCGTAGCAGCCCCCCAATGGGGCTCAATTCTCCTTACCCCTTCCGAGGAAGACCTCCCAGTACTTGCCTCCTAGCGTGCGTCAGCTACTTCGGCCGTGAGTCCGTCTGCAGGCGCAGGCGCAGGCGCAGAGCTCGCACGCCGGATGCGCACCCCGCCGCGCGGCGCCCCGCTCTCGGTGGCCCGCCGGGCTCCACGGAGGCCGCCAGACGCACCGCGCATGCGAGCCAGCCGAGGCGAACTCCGGATGTCATCGAAGGAAAGACGCCACAAGCATACACCTTGTGGCGCTCCGCGCGGATTTCTTTGATGCGCGCTGGGCCCCCCCGGCGGCGCCCCCGGCGCCAGGGAGGCGGGTCCAGCGCAGATCCAAGAAGTCCGCGCGGAGCGCCCAATGTTTCTGCCTACGGCGTCTTTTCTTCTTCCATCTTAGTTGCCTCGATGCGCCCGTCTTGAAACGCAACACGTGCCGTGTTCAGAGCGTCCGTGCGGGACCTTTCGCAATGCCGCTGCCCAGTTGCTTGGATCGGGCCGGGCGAAAGGGGGGGATTGGGAAAGGGGGGGTTACGAAATTTGCTGCATGCAGCTGGTTTCGGCCTCACCGAGGGGCCCGCTCCTCGATACGTGGCCGCCTCCGGCGCCGGGAGGCGCCGGGAAAATCAGCCACGTGAGCTGATTCTCGAACCCCCCCCTTTGCTATCCCCCCCTTTCGCCCGACCCGATTGGACGCGCGAGCGGATCGCCTCTGCCGCGCCGCGACGGGAAAGCTTCACACGCTGCGTGTTGGCCCGGCTCGCGTTGGCGCGCGCGCTTCGGCGAACGCGCCGCGCCAGACCCACGCTCCGCGTAAAGCTCCGCGTCGGCACGCTGCGTATGGCGTGCTGCGCACCGGGGCAGCTGAGCTTCGGAGTTCGCGGAATGCGGGGGCCCCCCAACGGCGCGGTGACCACACCGTGCGGTGAGTCGGTGGGGACTCGGGGTCGCCGCACGGTTCTGGGACTCGGGTCGTTCTCCGAGGACGTCTCGGGCGGCAGGGGCCTCCAGGGCCCCAAGACCGCGCGTTGACGGACCGTGCGGTGAGGTCTCTTGGGGGTCCGAGGTCACCGCACGCTCTGTTACCGCACCGTTTCGGGACTCCCAAGGAATATAAGTATGACGGTCGACTTCCGGTGTCGGCCTCGCGCAGAGGGGGGGGGTGGGGGGAAGGGGGGAAGGCTCCTTCGAAGGAGGCTGCCTCTCAGAAGGCGCCGGCCTCGTCTGCAGATGTAGCGCCGGCGCCTTCTGAGGAGCAGCCTCCTTCCAAGGAGCCCTCCACCGTCCGCCCCCCCTTGGCCCCCCCTCCTGCGCGCCGCCGGCAGTGGCTCCGGGGCACGCGGGGCGGGAGCGCCCGGGTCTTGCCCGCGCTGCCAGTTCTCGGCGCGGGCAGGCGCTGCAGCACGGTGCGGGGCGCGCGGGTGCCCGTTGCCGGCAGGGGGGCAGGCGAGGCCAGCGCGCGCAGCAGCCTATAGGTAGGCCGTTGGCATTCGCCCGGCGGTGCCATGTCAGACGTATACCCGCGTCCGAGCTCCTCGCCGTTCACCGCGTGGCAACGCTGAAGCCGACACGTGATGCAGAGAAGGGGGCACTCGCGCAGTATGACAGCTGAGAGGGCGCCATGTGCCACGTCAACTGCGCTGGCGTGGGCTGCTGACGACAATGCAAACACACGATGAACAATAATAATGATGATAGTAATAGCATCGCGTATTTATACCTAATTTTGATACTAGTATGCGTACGCGATGATGCTAGCGCGTGGGTCCCCAAACACGGAGTACTATGACATCATGTGCTATATTCTCTCCACCCTCATCCCTCTACTCTTTATATACCTACGTTTTGTGCACCATCCACTCTGTACTTCTCTTGTCTTTACTCTCTAGCCTCTCCCCTCAACTCTCTACGCGCTACTCTGTAACGCATGTCCAGGACGCTAAGGCTAAGGCTCCACATGCGGGACCCTACGATGGGTGACCCTATGGGAACCATGACCATCCATGACTATGAGCCTGTTGGTGGGACCCGAAAGCTGAGGCCCTGCGGCAGGGACCTGACAGGCGGGACCATATCGGTGGGACCTTGTTGGTAACATGCCATGGGTGGGGCCCTTAGGATGGGACCATGGGTCACAGGAGAAAATGGCACTGATGGTTTCGCCTCGAAATTCTGGTCAGAACGCACGCCGGGAGAGGTCCGGGGAGTAGCGGTATCGGGGCCACACTTGCGGCACTTGACGAGAAGGGTTCATTTGGACCGCAAAGCTCGATCATTCTCCCGTCCCGTGCTCGAGAAGCAGTCCCACCCTCCCACCCTCACCGAGCGCGTTCCACTACTTGCCAAGTGCCTACTCGCAAACTTCCGAAACAACAGACAGCTGCCTCGATGTAATGGATCGCAAGTCCCCTTTCGGCGGATCCAGGCCATTTGTGAGTGGTTACGTTGCGGGTAGTGGAGCGCGCTTCCCGCAACCTGATGGAACAACTCAGTGGGCCGAGATCAACACCACTGGTCTCGTTGGCATATCTCATGCCATAATGCCGCTGTTTGACGCGCTGACCTTTCTCATTCAAGGCCACGTCTCGTGCGGGGGGGCGGTAGTGTTAACGACGACCGCAGCGACGATGGAAGGTGGCGAGACTCAAGAGGCCGCGATTGAAGTGACGGCGCAACTTTGGAAACAAATCTCAAGAGGCGCACTGACTTGCTCTATCGCTCGGACATGTGCATTTTTCTCGGCGGGGGCCATTGAGGAGCATCTTGGATCGTCCTGCAACATATACACGCGCGACATAGAAACGTGCACGGGAAATGGACGTCCGAGCGATGGCGAGATTGACGCGAGACGCCCTCTCGCGCAGAACCATGCTGTGTCGGGCGGGTCGGTGGCGATGGTACCGACGACGATGTTACACGTAATACCGATGGTGATGGCGGTGACGATGATGACGATGGCGGCGACAACAGCAGTGCAGCAGATGGAGGTGGTGATGATGACGACGATGGAGATGGTTGCACACATGGTGGTGGTTTGATGGAGCGACGGCGATTGCGTCGATAAAGTTGATGGCTCCGATGATTATGACGATTGGCCAGGACGACGAAGACACGCACGGCTTCGTTGAGACACCAACGGCTTTATGATATTTTTTGCACGGTATTTTTGGAATGCCATTCGTGTACGCATGGATCCAACAGTAGCGTGCGCGAACATCGGCGACGCCAATTCTTCCTGACGCACACACACACATGTATATAGGTCTGTATCCAAACTATGGCCACAGTTGGTGTTGTATGACTTCCACCTGTTGGCGCAGGTGTTGCCCGCATGTTATTATGTTGTGGGATCGGTTCAGACCTACTTGTTAGATCAACGACTGTGCACCGCATGGAACTCTTTCTGCATGAATAAGGGAATACAGTACGAGTAGGATTGGTTCCACAAGGACACTTTCGCTGAAGGTACGGGTATGCAGCCTCGGAAGGGGTGCTGATCTTTCATCGTAGGGTAGGGATCCAGTAGGTGGGTTCCCTCGAACTTGTATGGAATCCTGTGGGTGGGACCTTTGAGGTGGGACCGTATGGGTGGGATCTTGTGAGTGGGGCCTTCTGGGTGGGACTCGGTGGATGTGAGTAACTGGGTGTGGCCCAAGGCGTGGGACAATGGCACTGTACAGAGGCGGCGCTTTGGGTCTTGTTGTGGGTAGAACCTCATGGGTGGAGCCAAAAGTGTGAGACCTTCTGTGTGAGACCATTTGGATGGACCACCGTCTGGGTAGGACCCTATGGGGCTGAGACCTTGTACAAACCGCCCATATTCCATCGCAACGATTGGAAGTCTACATGCGCGGGCCAAAAGTTTGTTCCTTTTTCTACGTGGCACCCCGCAATTGGGGATAAGAGTGAAGGGGCGGGCGCGGGCGACGCGGGCGTCGAGCCGGCGGACCTCGTGGCCCGCCCTCACCTTCCCTGTCGATGGCGCTCTCCTCCTCCTCCTCCTCCTGCTCGTCGTCCTCCTCCTCCTCCTCCTCTTCCTTGTGATTTGCGTGCTCTGGCAAGTTCAGCGCGGGGGGGATCGCTGGTGGGCCACCCGGAACGAATGCAAAAACAGCCCGCCGCAGGCGCCGAAATTGGGCTTGTTCAGTGGACGTAGTTTGGGTCGCGGGTGGGTCCCGGGCTCTCCACCTCCACCTGGAAAAATTCAAAAACAGCCCGCTGCAGGCGCCGAAACTTTTGTACACTGAAAGCGGTTTGGGTCGCGGGTGGGTCGCAGGTTCTCCACCTTGAACGAATGCAAAAGCAGCCCGCCGCAGGCGCCGAACATTTTGGGTGGGTCGCGGGGTGGGTCGCGGGTAGGTCGCGGGTGGGTCGCGGGGTGGGTCGCGGGTGGGTCGCGGGTGGGTCGCGGGTGGGTCGCGGGGGTGGGTGGGCCGCGGGGTGGGTCACGGGTGGTCGTGGGTGGGCCGCGGGCGCGGTTTGAGTCGCGGGTGAGTCGCAGGTTCTCCACTTGGAGCGAATGCAAAAGAAACCCGCCGCAGGCGCCGAAGTTTTGGCTTGTTCAATGAACGTAGTTTGGGTCGCGGGTGGGTCCCGGGCTCTCCACCTCTACCTGGAAAGAATTCAAAAACAGCCCGTCGCAGGCGCCGAAACTTTCGACTTGTACACCGAAAGCGGTTTGGGTCGCGGGTGGGTCGCAGGTTCTCCACCTCGAACGAATGCAAAAGAAGCCCGCCGCAGGCGCCGAACATTTTGGGTGGGTCGCGGGGTGGGTCGCGGGTGGGTCGCGGGTGGGTCGCGGTGGGTCGCGGGTGGGTCGCGGGCGCGGTTTGGGTCGCGGGTGGGTCGCAGGTTCTCCACATGGAGCGATTGCAAAAAAAAAAAAAAAACGCCGCAGGCGCCGAAAATGAAAATTTTGGGTGGGTCGCGGGGTGGATCGCGGGGTGGATCGCGGGTGGGTCGCGGGTGGGTCGCGGGTGGGGTCGCGGGTGGGGTCGCGGGTGGGTCGCGGGTGGGTCGCGGGTGGGTCGCCGGGGGGGTCTCGGGGTGGGTCGCGGGCGGGTCGCGGGGTGGGTCGCGGGTGGGTCGCGGGTGGGTCGCGGGTGGGTCGCGGGTTGGGTCGCGGGGTGGGTCGCGGGGTTGGTCGCGGGTGGGTCGCGGGTGGGTCGCGGGGTGTGTCGCGGGTGGGTCGCGGGGCGGGTCGCGTGCGGGACGGCGACAACAACAAACAACAAACAACAATAATATTCCACATCGCGGACTTCCTTTTCAGCCACGCACCCGGGGACAGTGAATGACCGTTCGGTTCAGCCCCCCTCATGCTGATGAACAACGATGGGTTCAATTGGGTCCCGTGACGTGTGCGCGAGAGCTACTTGTGTATAGTTCCCTTACCATCTGGATGTTTGCGTATTGGCGTGGGCGCCTCGTGGATCCATGTTTTCACAGAAGTTTCATCGAGACCTAAGAACAATTTGATCCACAGAGCCGTGGATCCGCAGACCAATGGTTTGATTCCAGGGGGGAGACTTTTGCCAAAAACTGTCATAGTTGAGGAGGGGCGGAGGATGAGACCGAACACGCGGACGAGGAATATGAGGAAGGCCAAGAGGAGCATGAGTCTCAGGATGCGGATGAGATGGATGGCGCCCATGAAGACGAGGAACAAGGAGATGACACCTCGCCAATTCGACGACTCGCACTTGGAATCTGGGAATCAAGAGGAACAGCTGTTGGCCTGCGTATGTTTTCGGTCCCACGGGAACTCTATGTCCCAGCGAGTTTTCCGTAGCAGGCGGCCAGCCTGAGTTGATGCCTCCGACCGTGCACGGGCGAGACTTCGCCCTCAGCACCGCCGCTTTGCACTCAGAAAGTGCTTGATCAGCCTCGGCAGACCTCACGACCGGCGAACCTATCCGCATCCGCGCCCTCGCGGTCCAGATTCTGGGGTGCCATCCCGCGGGCCCGCGGTCGTGCGGACACTTGTCGCGCGGGGCCTTCGCGGCCAAAATTGCCCCGCATCCGCGGGGCCGGGGCCCAGGGGCCCGGGCCCCGCGAGACCGCGGGTACGCATGCGTGCTTGGCCCACGACGGCGTCCCGAGAGGGGCCCAGGCCCGCACCCACCCGGTGCGCGGACGTGCTCCCGGGGGACCCCCCCGTGGAGCGTCGGAGGTGGACGCCTCCGCGCCCCTCGAGCGCGGGGGCAGAGCGTGCGCGAGAGCGCCTCGGGGGCACGCCCCCCGCCGGCATCGGCCCACGCGGGCAAGACGCTGTCGGGATCTCTTTTTTCGGGATCGCGTGCTGCTCCGCCGGTGCTGGCCCACCACGCTCCGGCGCGGCGCGCTGCGCCTGCCTCCCGGTCCCCGGGCCTCAGCGTCCCGAGCCTCCTGGAGCGCCCCGCTCCGCGGAGCGGAGCGGCACGCCACCAGCTCGCAGGGCGTGGCGTGCCGCAGGGGTCGCCGCGCCGTGGGCCACGCTGCAGGCCAAAGAGTTCTCTCGACCGCAGGGCCCCCCTCGCGTGGGGAGCTTCTCCATCGCCGCGCTCGGTGCTGTCCGCCGGCAGGCCCGCGCAGCGTGCCGGGGGAAGCAGCGGCCCCGCGCCGCGGGCGTGCCGCGGGCGGGAGGCCGCCGCCAGCAGCCCAGAACTCACCACCCACCAAACCACCCCAACCCAACCCGAAGGCCCAAATTTATCCTCGATTTCCAGTGGGGGGGGGTCGGGGAACGTTGAAAAAACACATGGTATCCGTACCCCCCCCAACCCGAAATTCGGGTCAAATTCGGGTCTTCGGGTTGGGTTGGGGTGGTCTGGTAGGTAGTCAAGAACCTGCCGAGGGGGAGCGATCTGGCGGTCGAAGGGCCGCTGGTGGTGAAAGGCAGAACCGTCCACGCGCAGGGCTCACTACGATTCCTGCGATTCGGCCCGACTCGATTCGGTGGCTTCCGATGGCGCTGCGGTTCGATTTCGGACTTCGATTTGGGCTCCGATGCCTCAACGGAGTCCTGGCCTGCCGATTTCCGCCGATTCGACTTTTCGCGACTCGGCTGCCGATTTCCGCCGATCCCAGTCATTTCGATTGCAGATCCGGCATCGATTCGATTCTGGGCTCTCCTGCCACGCGGCTGCAGAAGCCAACGCCGGGGTCGTCGCGACACGAACTTGCCGCATCTTCTGTGCGGCCCGAGGCGATCCGTGCGTCTGCTCTTGCGCTGGGGGGAGGGCGTGTGAGACCGGTGAACCGCGCCAGCAGCAGGCAGCACGGCGTTGGTGGACGGGCATCCCTGGACAGCCTCGCAGCCAGAGGGCCCCTGTCCGGCTGAGGCTACGTCTACGAGGAGTGTCTTAAGTGGCATGTGATGTTGACGGCGGCAGAGGAAACATCTATCCTCCGACATTCCCCAGTCAGTGCTTGCACTGAAGGGGTCCTTGCAGAGGTTGGAAGCTGTGGCGAAAGTGCCGGGCCGATCTCGGCAGGCGGCCGGGTTCCCGGGTTCCCGGGTGCCAGGTTCCCGGATTCCCGGTGGTTTGTGTTTCGGTGGGCAGCGAGGTTCCCCGAGGTCCCGGATCCCAGGGCTCTTGGTCGATCTCCCCATAGATCGGTCTCGCCATCGATCTCACTAACTACCCACCTCTCGATTGATCTCACAGTCGATCCCACTATAGATCGCACGAGCGATCTCACGATCGATCTCATTATCGATCTCACTGAATCGACTTCACGATCCTCCTTACTATCGTCCTTTCGATCGATCTCACTATCGGTCTCATTATCAATTTCACGATCGATCTCAAAATCAATATCACGAATTTTCAAACCATCAACTGATTGGCTGTTTCTTTGAGGTAATGTCGACCCCTCCCCCGGGGGCAGCTTGTCGTCGTGGATTCGTTCTTGATGCTCCTGAGGCCCGATCACAGGCCCTCTGGAGGCCGAAGTCGAGAAAAAGTAACGGGGTTGAATGAATCGTACCGTCGGAGATCTGGGTGTCATGCTGGCGCTTAGTGAGCACTGGAAGCGGCAGGGCAGGTTTCACCGTTCTCGAACAGTTTTTCTTGACAATGGAAACGGTACAAAAACGGCGACCGGAAACGGCAACAAAACGTTTTTGGTATTGGAACCAGAGCCAGAACCGGAACAAACAGCGACGCAACCAGCAACAACAACGGCGACGGAACCGGCAACAAAAACGGCAAAACGGAACCAGTAATAAAGGCGGCCCTGTCGTTTCAAGGGCCCACCGGTGGTGGTGGTGGTGGTAGAACAACACATCATCCGCTTTGTTTCGTTCTTTCGTCTCGTGTGGTACCGGGTTCGTTGAACATGTGCGTTTTAAAAGTTGGCCTTCGTTTCGATGTTCGTTTTAAACGCCATTCCGTTTTCAACAATTGCTGTGGACCATACCATCCCTTGCTATTTTTTCGCCCCCCCCCTTCCCCGCAGGTGTACAAGCTGGCGTCTGGACGCTACCTGATAGACACCCTGGTCTCGCAGGGGCCCACCCTGCCGGCGCTGCACGCCGCGCTGCACCTCCTGAGATGTATCGTGGCCCGGCCGCCAGGGGGTGGGTGCAACGTCGAGGCTGCACTGGAACCCACCGGGCTGGACGAAAGGGTAGGATAGGGAGAGGGGGGGCTGCGAACTCTGCCGCACGCAGCCGGTTTCGGCTCCGCCGCACGGGCCCAGAGGCGCCAGGAAAACCAGCCATGTGAGTTGATTCTCTGCCATACCCTGTGCTATCCTCTCCTTTCGCCCCACCGGACCCCAGAGAGGGTCGGGGTTCGAGCGTCGACGTTCCAGGTCTCCCAAGTTCAGGAGGGGAAAAAACACACAGACACAATTATTCGTCGATTCCCAGAAAATGGGGGAAAATATGGGAAGTGGGGGGGAAGACAGAAACCCAGAAAATATGGGAAAATATGGGGAATCTTTTTATTTGTGTGTATTTATTTGTGTGTCCCAGGGCCCCTTCACAAGTGGGGTTCGGGCAGACAGGGGTCGGAGGATCGCGCCGCATCGCCGACACATCGGCGATGCGGCTCGATGTGGAGCCCGATTCTCTCCACGCCGACGGCGCTGGCGCATCGGCGATGCGGCGCGACCCCCGCATCTACTCGGACCCTGTCTGGGCTTATGATGTTCCAACCTGATTTAGCCTTGATCGCTAGAAAGAATTTCGAGTGCCATCGATGTACCGAAACTGGAGGGTTTTCACGTGTCGGGCCCTGGGAGGCGACATTCGTTCGACGCTTCGCCAGCGTGTCGGGTAGACACTGTTTTGATACCTTTCCGGATGCTCGAAAGAAGTTCTGGAATGTGGTCCTCAAGTACGACGGGAACAACCAATTTGGGCGGCTTCTAGAGGTTTCGTATGCTCTCGGTGATTGCTTTGGACCCCGGGACCAGCCAGCTCATATGTCGAGGGTCATTTCTGGGCCCAGGGATCGTTAGAAGAGGATTCGGGATGCAGGGCCAGTCCCAGGACGGTTTTCGATACCCTCTCCCGACATTGGGCTCGCTTCAATTTTTCCCAACCATCTTGTGGTGTTGGGTCCTCGTTTTGACGAGACGGTCCCCGCGTTCCTCGTTCCCGCCCTCCTCCCCCTCCTCCCTCCTCTCACCACCACACATTTTGGCGCACCCCTCACACGGTTGGTGGCCCCATAGGGAGCTCCACCGAAGGCCCCAGTGGCAAAGTTCGCATGCAGTTCCACCCCCATGTCGGCGCCCCCCACGCGGTTCGTGGCCCCATAGGGAGTTCCACCGAGGGCCCGAGTGGCAAAGTTCGCATGCAGTTCCACCCCCATGTCGGCGCCCCCCACACGGTTCGTGGCCCCATAGGGAGTACCACCGAAGGCCCCAGTGGCAAAGTTCGCATGCAGTTCCACCCCCATGTCGGCGCACCTCTCACACGGTTCGTGGCCCCATAAGGAGCTCCACCGAAGGCCACAGTGGCAAAGTTCGCATGCAGTTCCACCCAATTTCGGCACACCCCTCACACGGTTCGTGGCCCCATGGGGAGCTCCACCGAAGGCCCCAGTGGCAAAATTCGCATGCAGTTCCACCCCCATTTCGGCGCCCCCTACACGGTTCGTTGCCCCATAGGGAGCTCCACCGAGGGCCCCAATGGCAAAGTTCGCATGCAGTTCCACCCCCATGTCGGCGCCCCCCACACGGTTCGTGGCCCCACAGGGAAAACCACCGAAGGCCCCAGTGGCAAGGTTCGCATGCAGTTCCACCCAATTTCGGCGAACCCCTCACACGGTTTATGGCCCCATAGGGAGCTCCACCGAAGGCCCCAGTAGCAAAGTTCGCATGCACGTTTCACACGGTTCGTGGCCCCATAGGTAACTCTGCTGCAGGCCTCAATGGCAATGTTCGCATGCAGTTCCACTCCCATTCCGGCGAACCCCTCACGCAGTTCGTGGCGCCATAGGGAGCTCCACCGAGGGCCCCAATGGCAAAGTTCGCATGCGGTTCCACTTCCATGTCGGCGCCCCACACACGATTCGTGGCCCCATAGGGAGTTCCACCGAGGGCCCGAATGGCAAAGTTCGCATGCAGTTCGATCTAATTTCGGCGAACCCCTCACACGGTTCGTATATCCATAGGGAGCTCTACCGAGGACCCCAGTGGCAAAGTTCGCATGCAGTTCCACCCCCGTTTCGGCGCACCTCTCACACGGTTCGTGGCCCCATGGGGAGCTCCATCGAAGGCCCCAGTGGCAAAGTTCGCATGCAGTTCCACCCCCATGTCGGCGCACCCCTCACACGGTTCGTATATCCATAGGGAGCTCTACCGAGGACCCCAGTGGCAAAGTTCGCATGCAGTTCCACCCCCGTTTCGGCGCACCTCTCACACGGTTCGTGGCCCCATGGGGAGCTCCATCGAAGGCCCCAGTGGCAAAGTTCGCATGCAGTTCCACCTTTGGCCCCAATGGCCAAGTTCGCATGGAGTCCCCCCCCCATTTCGGCGCCCCCCACACGGTTCGTGGCCCCATAAAGGGGGCTCTACCGCATGCAGTTCCACCCCCAGTTCGGCGCACCCCTCGCATGGTCGTGGCCCCATAGGGAGTTCCACCGAGGGCCCGAGTGGCAAAGTTCGCATGCAGTTCCACCCAATTTCGGGACACCCCTCACACGGTTCTGCTCCATGGGGAGCTCCACCGAAGGCCCCAGTGGCAAAATTCGCATGCAGTTCCACCACCATTTCGGCGCACCTCTCACACGGTTCGTGGCCCCATAGGGAGCTCCACCGAGGACGGTATTTACCATTGCGTTATTCACTACTGCATATGGTTGGGTCCTTCGCCAGGATGATTTCGATCCCAGACCCCCTCGAGTCATGAAAAAAACACGATGGGAGGTTTTTCTAAGTTTTCGGCCTCTGTGGGCCCCTACCCGGCCTCGGGACCGTCAGAAAACCACTCAGGAAGACCGGTCCCTTGGAATTAGTCCAAACCTCTAGTCGAATTCATGAAAAAATCATGACGTCGGTGCTCTGGGATGCCTGGGCCCAGGAGCTCTGGACCACTTCCCTGGGGCTGTTTTTTCGCCCCGAGTTGTTTTTTGACGGTCCCGAGGCCCAGCGAGGGCCCCTGGAGGCCGAAGTCCGAAAACGGCCAAAAGCCGGCCGCTCCAATCTTTCAGGAACTTCGGATCTGGGCCTGCAGGCACCCTCAGGGAGAAATTCACGAGGTCGGGGTCTGGGAACCTCGGATGCGTGCAGGCATCTTACATGCCTTTCCCTCGGCGAAGCCCCCCCCCCCACGCTCAGCGCAGCCCCTCTGACAGAAGCTCAAGTTGCAGCGAGTCCAATCGCTGTTGAATGTGATGGAAGCAGTAGGAGCCCTCGCTCCTCGATTCAGTATGCAAACGCCACGCCCCATAGGGAGCGAAGTTTGTGTAATTACCAGATCCACGGCCAGGACCCTCGCCCACCCTCCAGGGCTCTGGCCATCTTATCACCAGCCTCGAACCTATCCCTATCCTTAAGATTGACGCGCTAAAAGGAGATGACTATCGTAGGGGTACGCCCTCAGAAACTGAGGAAATCCCTAAGATCGCCATCGTGATGAGGCGATGCCCAACATAGGGATAGGGATATGTTACAGGCTGGTAATATTATACATTTTTCTTCTGGGCGGTCTCGCACTCTTCACTGCCAATCCGGTGCCGACGCGGCGGGGGCGAGCTCCCACCAGCTGAAGCCAGCCAGAGCACGGCTGCCCGGATTTTCCCCCCGTGTCCATGAGCAGAAATAAATATATCTCGTGGCCTTCGGCCCTTCCCGCCACCATGCCCCGGTTGTGGGCATGAAACCTACTGGATGTTCGTTGGGATCTCGTGGGAGGCCTCTTCGGGGGCCTCTTGGAAGCAATGGTGACACCTCTTGGGGACCGTTTTTGGGCCTCTTGGAGCCTCTCTTGGGCCTCTTGAAGGGCCTCTGATTAAAGGGCCTCTTGAGTGCCTCTTGGGGCCTCCTGGGCGCCTCCTGGGGCTTCTGGGGGCGTCCTGGGGCGGAAGGCTCGGATTTTCGGTTCGTGCTCCCTCTCGTGGGCCTCTTTTCAGGCCGTCTTTGGGTCCTCTTGGGCCGTCTTGTGCGCCTCTTGGGCCGTCTTGCGGCGCTCTTAGGCCGTCTTGGGGCCCTCTTGGAGGCCTCGTTGGCAATTTCGGGGTGGTCTTGGCGGCCTCTTGGGCCGTCTGGCGAGAACACCACAATCTTTCAATAAGCGGGGAGAGATATTTTTCTGCCTCTTGGGGCCTTCTTGGGAGACCTCTTGGAGAGGGGGGCGAGGCCCGACGAGAGATCTGGACTTCGCGCGAGCCGGAACTCCCTCTGGCACGCCTCTTCTCGGCCCAGCGCTGTTCTGCAAAGGTGGCGGTGAGGGGGATGATGCCATTCGAGTGAACTTGCCTGCTAATCTTATGCAGAGCGCAAAGCGCCCTACAAGGCCCCTCAGCTAAGGGCTGAAATCGAGGTCGCACGCCGGGACCGAAAAATCACGTGCACCGTCGTCGGGGATCTACTGGCCCCGGTCGATCCGAACCCGGGGCAGTCGGGCCTCGCGGGATCCTGCACGCAAGCCCAGGCCAGTGCACCCCCCGCGCTCTGGCTGACCCTGAGATCCAACGCTGCAAGAAGTCGCGGCCGGACCCCCAGATCCCATCTTGTTGCGTCATTCTTCGAGCCGGATCGATCTGTGCGGGTACCGGGGCCCCAGAGCTGAGCGAGAACACCCGGCCGGCTCCAAAAAAAGGAGCCCCCAGGATCTCAGGGGACCCCCGCTTGCATTGATGATGGGCGTGTTTTCCACCACCACCATCATAAGTTGGCGGGGGTGTCCTCCTCCTCCTCCTTCTCCTCCTCCTCCTCCTCCTCGTCCTCCTCCTCCTCGCCCTCCTCCTCCTCCTTCCCCCCTCCAACTTATGGTGGTGGTGGTGGAAAACAGGCTCATCAATTGACCCCCGTCCCTCCCAGAGATCCGACGTCGTGATTTTTTCCGTGCGGGGTCCCCCGAAGTCTCGACCCGTGCCCCAGGACTGGTTTTTTATCCCGAGTCGTTTTTTGTTCGGTCTCGAGGTGCGGCGAGGGCCCCTAGAAGCCGAGCGTAGCGAAAAACTTCCGCCATGATATTTTCAATGCGTTGGACCTCTGGGCTCGAGCCCCGACGACCGCGAGCGGGGCTTCCAGCCCCGGATCTTCGGCTCCACCCCGGGGGCCGAAGCCGCGGGCGGGGCCGCCCAGCCAGGCGGAGAGTGACCTCATCGCGCCCCACATCGTCGACAGGCCAGCGTGCGCCCACACTTGAGCAGGGCTCGTTTCGATTCCTCCGATTCGGTTCGAGTCGATTTCGATTTCGACGGTTTCCGATTCCGATTCGATTCGACTTGGGATTCCGATTTGGGCTCCGATGTCATTCTGGAGGCATATCAGCCTGCTGATTTCCGCCGATTCGACTTGTCCCGACTCGGCTGCCGGTTTGCGCCGATCCGACTCATTTCGATCGCCTATCCGACTTCTCGATTCGATTCTGGGCTCTCCTGGACTTGAGCCGGGCACGTCCCTCTACAGCATTAGAATTCAAGAATTGGCAGAAAATAGCCTGGGGACGATTGTTTTGGAGTGCGTGGTTGGTGTATCTTTTTTAAATTTTCGTCCAAGATCCGCATGTAGGAGGACATTCCCGACCTAAGCCCAGGTCCCCTGGAGTCATGAAAAAAATGACGGGAGACTTTTTGCTATTCTCGGCCTCGGGGGGCCCCTGCCGGGCCTCGGGAGCGTCAGGAAACGACCGGTCCCTGGGAAGGGGTCCAGACCTCTGGGGGTCGACGCAGCGAAGAAATCAGGACCTCGGGGGGGTCAGGGGCGCTGGCGTGCCCGTCTCCCGCGATGGCTCTTGTGTCGGCCTCTGGATCGGCACGAGCCGAATTTTTACGGAAAGAAGTGAAAGAAGTAGGATTGTTGCGGAAAGAGTGGGAGATAAGACCCACAGCATTCCCTGGCTGTTTTGGGCAGGACTCGCGGTCGGTTTCGCCGCGAATGTTGTCCACTTGAGGCAGAAGGCCGGCTGTCCACCAGCGGCCGCAGTCAGTTTGCCGACATTTTTTGCTGTTGGGCAGTGTACTCACTTTTTTTTGCCGTGCACATTTTTCGGGCCTGCCCACTGGAGGCCGTTCCCAGGCCGGGACCGTCAACCAGCAAGTCGGGATAAGCAGCCATCCCCGAGGAAGTGGTCGAGGTCCTTGCGGGTCCCTGCCACCAGGAAACAGCGACATGGGAGGAGAGGGGACGGCCATCCGAGGCAGCTAGAGGACAGCACAGCCCGTCCCCCCACCCTTGAGCCAGGACCCCCACTCCCGACCTGGTGATCCAGGGGGCCCTGGCTGGGGGTGGGGGTGGTTCTCCAGCCCCCGAGTGATTGGCCTGTTTTCCACCACCACCACCACCATAAGTTGGAGGGGGAGGGGGTCCTCCTCCTCCTCCTCCTCCTCCTCCACCTCCTCCTCCTCCTCCTCCAACTTATGGTGGTGGTGGTGGAAAACAGGCTCATCACCGAGAGCCCAACAAAACCAGGCCAGCAAGGATCCCCTCCCTGGATCAGGCCGGAAGTGGGGGTCCTGGCTGGGGGCGGGGGTGGGTTACGATGCTGCCCCCATCTCTGGACCTCCCGGAGGCTTCTCGTCGCCACGTCTGGAGCCGCCTCGAGGAGCGGGTCAGGATGGTCCCTGGAGGGGGGTCCGGGGACCGACTCTGAGGGGATTTGGGCTGGGCGAGAGAGCAGCCGTCGTCTCGACTGGCGCATCTCGGACGGATGCACCGAGAATCCGTGAGGCATCGGGTGGGCCCCCATCCCATTTCTTCGCGCCCTGAACGGTAGATAACATCGGCCGGAAAGTGTTTGCTGTGGTTTTCGGCCTCTGGGGGTCCTCGCCAGGCACCAGGGCGGTCAAACATCAACTCGGGATGAGAAGCGTGCCCTTTGGGAAGGGGTCGAGTCCGTCAGTGGTCACGTTGTCAACGCTTGGTGGTCTGGGGGATTCGGCAAGTCGGCGAGTCTGTACGAACAGCATGGACAACAAGCCCCGCTTCACGAATTTGAATGGTCATGTGTATTCGTGCATGTATGTGTGTGTATATATATACACACGCACAGTAGCAATGCAAGATATATGCGCGTGTGCAATTTCCTCCTTACCGTGTCCCTTGGGGAAGGAGCCGGAGGAGGAGGAGATGGAGGAAGAGGGGAGGGGGCAACGAAGAGAGGGGGGAGGTGGAGGAGGAAGGAGGGGGACTGAGTTGATGGGTGCAACGCGGTATGTCTTGCCCCGAGTCGCGTCGCCCGAGACAGATCGAGCGTTGCGGGAGCGGTCTGCCGGTTCATGCAGCCCGAGTCTGACGGCGGGCTTCCCCAGCAAGCCGTGGACCCTCCTGGTCTTCCTCGTCCTCCCTCTTTTCCTCCTTGCCCTCCTCGCCCTCGCCCTCCTCGTTTTCGTTCTTGTACTCCTCGTCATCCCTCGTCCTTGTCATCTTCCCCCTCCTCTCTGTTGTGGGAGGTTCGATTCAGCATAGGTGCGGGTCCATCCGTGGTCGAGAGCCGTCCGAATCCGGCCCAGTCCTGCCAAACCCCATTTGATGTGGCTTAACTGCTCCTGGGCTGAATTGGGCTCGATCCGGCTCGTAGACCCCTCGGCCGAGCCTGACACCCGTTATAGTCGTTCCCGCGAAGGCGCTCCGGGCGTTGCCTTCCAGTCAGCCTCCTCGTCCTCTCCGCCCTCGTCCTTGTCCTCGCTCGGAGGAGGCCCAGCTGAGACAATGGCGGCTCTCCCGACCGAGTCGAGTCCGCTCAAAGCCCGTCCCCGCGCCCCTCGCCGGGCCCAGCCTATGGCACGTGTCTCCAGGCGGGGACCCGGCCGCGGCGACGAGGGGCTCCCAGCAGGAAGCCCTCAGAGAGGATCCACCGCGCCAGTGTCGGGCCGCCACGGCCCCTGGCCCGCGGGGGTCGGCGGCGGATATGGCGCCCGCTCTGTCGGCCGCGCCCCGGGCCCCGCGAGCTCCGAGGGGCAGAGCTGCTCAGAAGAGAGGCTGCTGGCTGGCCTCCCGTCGGCTGGAAGCGAGATCTGCAGAAGAGAGCCGCCGGCCCGGTGCTGCGGCGATTAGCTGCGAGGCCGCCGCAGTGTCGACACGAGCTCGCAGTGGGAGCGCGGCGAGCGCGAGAGCGCCGCCGGGCGGCGCGGGCCCAGTGCTCCCCGCGCCCCCCGGGGGTCGGGGGCGGGGCCTCCCTGCGCGAGAGCGCCCCGCGCGGCCCCGTGGGCGACTCTCGCGGGGGCCCGACGGGGCGAGGGTCGGCTCGGCCGGCCAACCCCTTGCCAGGCTTGTGCGCAGGTTGTGTGCGTGTGGCTGCTGCGTTTGCTTCCTGGGAGGGAGGCCTGTTCTGGTCCCCGCGGGGTCTGGGGCAATTCTGTATAGCAAGCCATGGGAGCCTGGTATGCCCTTCTGGTGTCGTTTAGCGTCGACTGGCGTCGATTAGCGCCTGGCCTGGGAGTCGATGAGATAGCGCCGATGTAGCGTCGGCTAGCGTCGATTACTGTCGATTGTAGTGCCGATTCGCGTCGACGAGCATCGATCATCGATTCGCCAGAGCCGGCAAGATGGTACGGGAGGCTCCCATGATCTGCCCCCGACAACTTTTCCTGGCCCCCGCGGGTGCTGGGGTGAGTCTTTAGCCCCGGTCGTCTCTCACGGGCATACAGTCAACCCGCATAGGAAGTGTGGGCAAGCTTCCCACGGGTACGTACCCTTGCACCCTTGCCTCCTCGGCCCGTCCTGGGCCACCTGCGCCGGCCGCGCCCCGCTCGGAGAGCGCTCCGAGATGGCCTTCCGAGGCCCTTGCATCCTTACCGCGCATCCTTACTGTACGGCGGCGAGCGAGGGGGGAAAGGGAAAAGGAGAAGGCCTTCTCAGAAGGTTCGGAAGCCCCCCAGCCGTCTGAGAAGTTTTCTAAGTCTTCCCCGAAGACAGAAAAACTTGTCAGAAGGCACGAGGGCTTCTGAGAAGTCCCGCCGCCCTCTGAGAAGGCCTTCTCCTTCTCACTTCCCCCCCCCCTCGCCTTGGCATCGCTCGGACGTGTGCAGTTTTGCTTCGGCGAGGACCATCGAGGAGCATCCTTGATCATCTCGCGAAAAACAAACACGCGCGACACCGAGCAAAAACACACGACATGGACGTCCGAGCGATGGCCCGTCGCTCGCCGCCGATATGCGGGCTGGCTGTGTTTTTAACCAGTCCTCTCCAGGCTGTCTTCGGCAGAAAGGTATGCAGGTGGCTCGCGCGCCACTCCGGCGACCCCCAAGAAGAGGGGTGAGAAGTCCACGGGTGATGCCTTGGCGGGCCTCTCGAGGGCCCTCGGGGGGCATCGTCCTCGCGCGCCCTTGTAACACGGGCCGACTGCACTCCGGGCTTCTGAGTACGCGTGGGAGGGTACACCCCCGACGGGGGTCTCGCCTCGTCGTCGCGCCGCGACGGGGGTCGGAGCGCCTCCGGCGCGCGGTGGCTGCCCGCGACGGCGGTCGCTGTGGGGCTGCCGGCGGGGGTGACGCCCCCCCACCCCCGACGCTTGTTGAGAAACTCAGAGCAACCTTCAGTCGGGCCTGTCCCTCTACAGGAGGATTCTTCAAGAATAGTTGAACAAATAGTCTGGGATCGATGCTTTGACAATTTTTGATTCTTACTTTGTGAATCTGTGTTACTTCTCCTCCAGGATCCGCCTGTAGGAGGACATGCCCTACCTAACCTCGGCTGGGGGGCACTTCTCGCGGGGCCTCGGCCGGGGCGCCCCCCGGCGCCACTCTGGCGGCGCTGGCGAGGCGAGGGCGCCCCGGGGGGGGGGGGCCGGCAGCCCTCAGGAGGAAAAAGGCGACGGCGGGCTTCTCGGCTCTGCTCGGGTCTGATGAGATGCGCTTCGACCGCAGTCTCCCCCGCACGTGCCAACATTGAGTTTTGGGGGGGGGGGAGTGTTCAGTAATCGTTTCCCTCTGCCGTAGTTGGGCGCGTGCGTCCTCTGTGGGCTCCCTATAGAGCGGCTGGCCGGGCTTCGCGGCGGGGCCCCTCGGCCTACCGGGGGGCGCACGGTGACCCGAGCCACAGTGCGCCCCCGAGCATTTCAGCAGGCACGCAGTCGAGGAAGCGCAGGCACGGAGCAGGGCGCGCGCCGACTCGGCGCTCTGGACGCCCGAAATGGGTACGGAAAGAGTGGGTACAATGCCCAACAGCGGATCTGGTGCATTTTGAACAGGACTCGCTGTCCACGCCGCCGCGGCCTGTGCCCATTCGAGACAGAAGGCCGCCTGCCCAACCAACAGCGGCGGCTGTTGGTTTGGGACAACATTTGTTGTTGGGCATTCTACCCATTCTTTCCGTGCCCATTTCGGGCGTCCAAATCGGCTCCGCCTGCTGGCCTCGCAGCACGCTCCTCGTGCTTCTGCCCTGCGCGTGCTCAGACATGGGCTGCACCGCGCTTAAAGCAGAAGGTAAAAGTTCTACAGGAGGAATATTCAAAATAGTCCAGAATCAGTCAGGGGACGACTTTTGGACTATGTTCAATCTTTCGTCCAAAATCCGCCCGCACGAGGACACGCCCGACTTAAGCGCAAGGGGGGATGGCAGAAAAGTTACCACAGGGGTAACTGGCCTTGTGGCAGCCAAGCGTTCACAGCGACGATGCTTTTGGATCCTTCGATGTCGGCTCTTCCCATCATTGACCACTTCCCTGGGCCAGTTTGTTGTCCCGAGTCATGTTTGAACGGTCCCGAGGCCCAGCGAGGGCCTCCGGAGGCTGAAAACGGCCCAAATCCTGCCGCTCCAATTTTTTGGAGCGCTGGATATCTGGGGAGGCAATCGCGGTGCCCTCCTGGATGCTTCGATGGCTTTTGGGACGCGCCCAACATCTTCCAAAGCGGCTGCGGGACTGGGAGTCTGGAGTCCGTCTTAGGAAGGCCGAAGCGTCATACGGTCGGACCGATGCATAAGACCGAGGTCGGTTTCGGGAGCGGTGAGGTCTTCGGGCAAATCGAGGCCACCGCACGGTCTGTCGCCGCTCCGCCTTGGGACCCCGAAGATCCTCTGAGATCCTCTTCCTCGATCCCCTGATCCCAACTTTCTCGCCCTCCCTGCCCTCCTCGCCCTCCTCGCCCCCGGCAGGTCAGGCGGCGGGCTGCTGGCGGGGCGCGCGCGCGGCAGGGCCGAGGCCGCGGCGGCCACCTAGCGGGCTGCCCCGCCCACGCTCTCGCTCGTTTGCACGGGCCCGCCATCGCTCTTCTCTGAGATGAGACTGTTTTTTTATTCTATGGCGCGTGAGGGTCGTTACCCGGGTCCCCCCCCCCCCCTCTCTGGGTCACGGTACAGTCGGGTCGCTGAGGAAGGAACCCTTTTCGTTGGGGAAGGGCTCCGTGTTCCTCAACTGTTTCACAGCTTGCCTCAGATGTTCCTTCTGTTTTCGATGGGGGATCGAAGCTTAACTTATGGGAAAAAGGGGGCCCCGAGGTCAACGCCCCGACTGTAGTTCTCGTACGTTTTTTTTGGGGGGGGGTGCTGGGCTGTTTTCGATGGGGAATCGAAGCTTAACTTGTGGGAAAAAGGGGGCCCCGTTCCTTCTTCAGGGTTCCTCAGGTCCACGCCCCGACGGTAGTGCTCGTACGTCTTGGAGGGGTGGGTTGTGCCGGTGCTCTGCCGGCGCCCTGCCGGTGCTCGCGGGCGCCAGGTGCTCGCAGGCGCCCTGCGGGTGCTCTGCAGGCGCCCCCTGCGGGTGCTGCTCGGAGGCTCTGCGCAGGCGCCCCGCCCCCCTCGGAGCAGTGGCGAGGCGGCCCGGCTCGCCCGTAGGCCCACCAGAAGGGCACCACCCACCAGAACACCACGACCCGACCCGAGGGCGTCAAAATCTGCCCTCCATTTCGGGTGGGGGGGGGGTGCTCGGGAAACATGGAAAAACACATCTGGAACCCGTATCCCCCCCAACCCGGAATGCGGGTCTTCGGGTTGGGGTTGGGATGGTTTGGTATGTAGCTAGTCACAAAGCGTGTTCTAAGCATCTTCGGTGGTCTGCCCCAAATCTACTGCGCCATCCCCTTTCAGTTGGACCCTCCTTGTGGGTCAACCGCGAACCTGGTGAAGGGCGACGAGGCCCCCGATGGGGTCCCGATGGGGCCCCGATCTTAGTGGGCCCTGGAAACGACAGGGCCGTTTTTTTACCGCTTCCGTTTTGCCCTTTTTTTGCCGGTTCCGTCGCCGTCTTTTCACCGGCTCCGTCGCCGTTGTTTGACCGGTTCCGGCACCAGTTCCGCTCTTGGAGCCGTTTTTGTTGCCGTTTCTGGTCGCCGTTTTTTTTTGAAGTTTCAGTTTCCAATGGGCATTTTTGGGGGAAACGGTGAAAAAACGGCCCTGCCGTTTCCGGGGCCCACAGAGGCCCCGATGTGGCATCGATGGCCGGCCTGGCCTCTCTGCCGCCGAGGGCCCCAGGGGCCGCTGTTCGCTCCAGGGGGAGGGGTCGCCCTGCTCGATCGCCGGCCTGCCCTTCCCTGCCCCGCCCCTCGCCCTCGAGGGCCCCCCCTCCCGCGCGGCCAGGGCCCTCGCCCGCGGGGGGCCCCGATGCCGGGGATCTCGCTCCGAGGAGGTGGTGCTCCGAGCAGCTCCTCGGAGCGAGGAGCAGAAGAAGTGCGAGAAAGGGAGAGAGAGAGAGAGAGGCATGATGGGCTTGGCTCTGCTTAAACATGCCCAGGGTGTTGTTTTGCTACCGTGTTTTACTCGGCATGTCGTGTGTATATATATATAGTTATAGTTATACGCCCTCACATATATGTATATATACGTATGTATGCATGTATGTATATATGTATGTATGTATGTATGTATGCATGCATGCATGCATGTATGTATGTATGTATGTTTGTATGTATGTATGTATGTGTGTATGTATGTATGTATGTATGTATGTATGTATGTATGTATGTATGCATGCATGTATGTATGTATGTATGTATGCATGCATGCATGCATGCATGCATGCATGTATGTATGTATGTATGGATGGATGGATGGATGGATGGATGGATGGATGGATGGATGTATGGATGCATGTATGTATGTATGTATACATACATCTAGTTATATCTAGAGATGCTTGAATGTTGAGGGCGCATTCGGTGCCAGCAAGAACACCCACAACGCTAAAGCACGATTCATGTTGGGGGCGTTTGTTCCTGCGTCTTGCGCAGCGTCAGATCAGTTGGTTGCACTGTTGAACACTGCCGTCTACGACGTCCTCAGTGCCCTCTACTGGCGTGCAGTCCTCAGCCCTCTGGCTCTCTCAGTCCGACTGCTTGCCGTCCTTGGAGCCCCTCCTGGGGCGTCGGGCCTCTGGGCCCGATGGCCGACGACCACTCGTGGGGCCATCGGGCCTCCAGGCCTGTTTCGGGCCGGTGTTAGACCGGTGTTCGAGCTTTTTTGTTCCCCCGTTTTTAGCTCTGCGAGGGAGAACGTCGGCAAAAACGGAGGATGGGTCAAGACAGCAGGGAAGACAAGGAACAGCCTTCGACAAGAAGTCAACAAAAAGCTTCGAAACATGATGATGCACAGCGACGGGATGGGGGGGCAGCGATGACAGGCAACCATGGGAGGCAACGATGGGGGGCAACGAAGAGGAAACTAACGGCACGAGCATCAACTTTCGGAGGTATGCAAGGAGCTCCGACAGCTTACGTTCGTGAAGTTGTTATTCTTCTCTCGTACAGTCCAGAAGCTGATTGAACGTTGGGCGTGACCTGCATGGGCCAGGTCAAACGAAGGTGAGACTAGCCACGCCATCTTTAGAAGTGGCAGGGCTGATCGACGATTGCTCCACAGTTGCGTCGATCCGATGAGCGGCCCGCAAAATCTGTGTCAAGCGATTGAAGATTAATGGCATCTGTCCTCAAGCTTGTGCTGTGGGGGAAAAGGTGCGCGAGTCGACAACGAGTTCCGCCAGGGGAAGCGAACGGAGATAGGGCAGGATCGATTTGAACTTCAACTCGCCTCCCCTGCGCAGCCAAAGCTGTGTATCATTGTGACACTACCTGTGTGCCATCCACCCCTCGCATCCGTTGCACAGGCCGCGCCACCTCGCGCGTCGTCCAGCCCTTTCTCCATTATAGCTGCGAAGACCAGTGCCAAACTGCTGCACGACCCACCCAGCAGCGCACGTCGGCCGACGGACACGTGTGGCCATTGCTCGTTGCCACAGCCTCTCTACCTAAAAGGTCTGGTTCTTTGTCGGGATACAGGGCTCGCATAGTAAGGACGGGCAACCTTCACCAGGGTACCCTTGCATGCTTGCCTCCTCGGTCCATCCTTGACCGATTTCACTGGCCCCGCCCCGCTCGCAAAGTGTCGGCACGGCCTTCCACAGTTTTTTCCATCCTTACCGCGCATCCGTATGATACGGGTTGACTGTAGTTCGTCGCCCTGCTCTGCCTTTGCTTAGGCTTCATAACCTCGAGCATGAGTCAACCGCTACGAGTGCATCGTGAACGGCGAAATGCGGCGAACCAGACATCGTAAGTTTGGGGAAACGCTCATACGGCGGCAGTTGTGGGATTAGCCCCCGTGAACGAAGTTGTTTCTCGCCATGGACGAGAAGAGTGAATGATCGCAAACGGTTCAATGCATAGTTGTTATTCTTATTTCTCTTATGTTTGTTGCGTGTTGCGCACAGTCGGGCTTGCGGTAGTGCCTGTGCTATGTGCGGTAGCGTCTTGTTCTGTGCAAGGCATTATTCTTGTGTGTCCCAGTCGTTGCTTGGTTCAAAGCCGATTGGTGATGCACACTTTGAACAATATTCCTAGAGTAGTTTGAATCACCGGCTTCTTGCGGGCGTCGAGGTTCCGATGATCTCTCTAGCTCGGCGCCTTGTTTCGTCCTTCGACGAAGTGTGTAGCAAGGGCAGGAGTGGAGGGGAAAGAGGGGAGAAAGAGGAGGAACGGGGAAGAAGGTGGACAGCGAAAGCGGAGAGGATGTGCGAGAGAGGCAGGGCGAAAATTTCGAGAAGAGGACAGTTTCGGGGTGTTGTGCGCATGACGAGGCGAGGGGAAGAAGATCGCCAGATGGCAGGTGGGATGGGTGTGTGCCTCGGCAGATGGCTGGAGCATTAAGAAAGTTTTGTCAGCTGCATGCGACGAGCAGAAGGGAGTTCATCTTTGGCCACGCTCATTATCACTCGGTGTTCCCTATTGTGTTCATGCACCTGTTTCACCTGACCTTCTGTAAGCCATCCTGGTGGCGTGACAGCATCGGGCTGGCTGCGGGGCAGAAAAGACGCGTAGAAAAACCCGCGCGTGCCAGACGAGAGCTGGATCGAGCTTTGCAGGAGTCAAGTAGAGCTGGATCCTGTTGGATTTTATTAGAGCTGGATCGGACCCCACTGAGATGCTATGAAGGTTGAACCCAGCTGCAGTAGGATTCTAGTACAGCCTGATCGAGCACCAATCGGATTCTACCTGGGGAGGGGGGTGGACGGGCCCGGTTCGAGCATCCCGGGCCCCCTTGGACAGCTAGGCGGGGGGGCGCCCGGTTCGACCCCCCCCCCCCCCTGTTAGAGAGGCGTGTGTCCGCCCGCCCCCCCTCCCCCGCCCCTTGCGTTCTCCGGTGAGAGAGGCCTGCTTCCCCCCCCCAATCATCCCGGGCTCCCCAGGCGCTTCAAATGTTCTTGTTGTGTTCAGGGCGAACAAGCGTCCGTGAGACGCGCCCTCTCCGGCATCCGCACGCACTGGCAAGAGGCAGCGTCGTGACAGTGGAGCATGTCGTGGAAGTTCTTATGCCGCCGCCCTCCCGGGGTTGGTTGGACTTTCTTTTGTCGTCGCCTGTGTTTTGAGTGCCATGCGTTTCCGCCATGGCGCGAGGAAGGCTTCGGAAGCGGACTCAGTCGGAAGGAGCGTGGTGAACAATGACCGGCCATGACCCCCGATGTCGTGATTTTTCAGAACGTCGCCCCCCCCCCCCCCCCTGAAGTGCCCGACCTGTTCCCCGGGATGGGCTCGTCAATCCCAGCCGCCTTCCGACGGCACTGGAGGCTGAGAGTGGCCCAAAATCTCCGGTCGGCACTTGGATCCGTCACGCGATGCAAATCGGAGGAGGAGAAGAATGAGGATGAGGTGGTGAAGGAGGAGGAGGAGGAGGAGGAGGAGCAGGGGAGGAGGAGGAGGAGGAGGAGGAGGAGGGGGAGGAGGAGGAGAATAGGGAGGAGGAGGAGCAGGAGGAGGGAGGAGAGGAGGAGGAGGAGGAGGAGGAGGGAGGAGGAGGAGGAGGGGAGGAGGAGCTGGAGGAGGAGGAGAGGAGGAGGAGGGAGGGGGGGGGGAGAGGAGGAGGAGGAGCCGAAAATAGCAACAAAAAACACCCCGTCGTGATTTTGCATGACTCAAGGAGGAGGAGGAGGAAGAGGAGGAGGAGGAGCAGCAGCAGGGTGATGATGATGATGATGATGATGATGATGGATGGAGGAGGAGGAGGAGGAGGAGGAGGAGGAGGAGCATGAGGAGGAGGAGGAGGAGGAGGAGAAGGAGGAGGAGGAGGAGGAAGGCAGGAGGAGGAGGAGGAGGAAGGAGGAAGAGGAGCAGGAGGAGGAGGAGGAGGAGTATGAGGAGGAGGAGGCGGAGGAGGAGGAGGAGGACGAGGAGGAGGATGAGGAGGAGGAGGAGGAGAGAGAGGGGGAGGAGGACGAGGAGGAGGAGGAGGAGGAGGAGGAGGAGAAGGAGGAGGAGGAGGGTAGCAGGAGGAGAAGGAGGAGGAGGAGGTGGAGGAGGAGGAGGAGGAGGAGGAGGAGGAGATGGGGGAGGGAAACTCGCATCACGTGACGAGCCCCTGTGCCTATTCCGTCGCGATGTTTCTTGTTCACCACGCCAGGGGGCCAGCTTTCCGCCGGGGACCGGCTTGTCACCGACGGTATTGGAGGCCGAAAGAACCTCCTGAAGTTGCTTTCGTGATGGTCCTGGACGACCCTGGAGGCCCAGAGTGGCCCAAAGCCTCCCGCTGTGATTTTTGCGTCCACCACGCGAGGGGGCCTGGGAACACGTGAGGCGTTCCAACAAGGGCCTTGCGTTCGAGGATCGAAGGAGTTGTCATCTCTTCCTCGGCGGAAGGCGGCGGAAGGTCGGGGGAAGTAAAACGAGGCCGCCTCCGCGGAAGGTGGGGGAAGTAACAAATGCGCCCCCAAGAGGTGACAGCATTTTTGGGTTCAGGGGTTTCGGAATCCGCCACGCGAGTGACGAGCAGCGGGGGCCGTGCCGGCGCAGGGGGCCGTGCGAACACGTGAGTGACGGGCAGCGTGGGCCGCGCCGTTTCGCAGGGGGCCGCGCACGGGTGCGAACATCGGCGAGGCGACCCTGGCGGGCTGCTGAGACGGGGGCGCCCGCCGCTCAAGGGCTTGGCGATGCTGCTCCAATCGACTCGCTGGGATCAGGCGAGAGGCATCCAAACTAATGCGGGATGACGATTAATAAAAATAATGGGAGAGGACGATTAGAACATAGCTTTCCGCTGGTTCTGCAAAGTTTCTGACTGGAGGATAGTTGTCCAGCCCGTGGCCTGGTTTTCCTAATCGTCATCCCGGGCGCCGCCGCGTGAACACGACCTCCGGTCATTTATTAATCGTCATCCTCCATGACCAGAACCCCACGAATCATGGGAAAACCACGACGGGAGGTGTTTCGCTATTTGCGGCCTCTGGGGGCCTCGGGGAGCGTCAAAAAAGACTCAGGATGAAAAGCCTGTCACGGGGAAGGGGTCGGGACCTCTGGGAGTCGACGTCATGAACAAAATCATGACGTCGGGGGTCTGGGTCTAAACCAGTTGCACGCCTTCGTCGGGTCTCGCCGGTGTTCGGAGGCTTCTTCGTCAGTGCTCGTTTTTGGTGTGCGTCCAGCCTCGGAGAGCCTTCCAGCGGCTGCGCCTCGCCGGGAGCGCTCGGGGGGGCTCCCGGATCGTCCCGAACGGCCGCTGGAGACCGGAGCTATGACCCGAGAACCAGCCACGCCGAGCCGCCAGACCGAGGACGCTCGTGTTTTAAATGCAGCACGTGCCGTGTTCAAGCGTCCTGGCTGAACATCCAGCGTGTTGGCTCGGCACGTATTGGCCCACGTTTATCAGGAGAGAAAAAACACACAGACACAATTCATCGTCGATTCCCAGAAAGTATAGGAAAACATGGGAAGTGGGGGGGAAGACAAAACCTCAGAAACTATGCGAAAGTATGGGGAATCCTGTCATTTGTGTGTATTTATTTGTGTGTCCCAGGGCCCCTTCAGTTTACGCGAGCGTAGCTTGCCAGACCTGCGTTGTGCATCTGCGTGTTGAGCTCCGTGTCGATGCGCTGATGGGGCTATCGCAACGCAGGCCGGTGTGCATCCAGAGAGGCCGAGGCAGATCCAGGGGTGCCCGGCTAAGCCTGGAGAGCTCGGGGAAGCTTCATCGCGAGTCGAGGGGCAGCGGAAGTCGCCAAGCCCTCCACGAGCCGTGGAGGGGGGGGGGCGGCGCCCAGCGCCGCGCCTGGAGCGCTCGGAGAAAGCTGCCCCTGCAGGCTGTGCTGCACGGGCATCGTCGACCTCGAGGGACGCTTGTGCGGTGCGGGCCCACAGGGGCCCCCGCAGGGACGACGCCAGGGGGGATCTGCTCAGGGGGGCCCTCTCAAATGGTTGTTTTCCTCGCATCTCAGACAGATTATTGAATCGCTTCGCTCATTCCGCCGGCCCTCGTTGTCGCACCTCTGTCGATTTGGAGGTGTATTCCTGAGGGGGTCGCAGTGACGGTAAATTTGGTTTCGGGGTTTCGTCGCAGATTCTGGCGGAGTTGTCCTGGGGCAGTCGTGGTTGATAACGGGTCTGGTCGGTGATCTGCTTGTGTCGGTGAGGGGTTGATGATTTTGGATGGTCGTTGTGGGGCCATGTCGCAGATCGGAGGTATTCGTCGCAAGTTTGAGCCTTTCCGTTTTGGAGGGTGGCGGCTTGTGAATGCGATTGCAGGAAGAGCAGGAGCAGGAAGAGGAGGATGAGGAGGACGAGGAGGAGAGTGAGGAGGAGGATGAGGAGGAGGAGGGAGGATGAGGAGGAGAGGAGAAGGAGAGGGGAGGAGGAGGAGAAGGAGGAGGAAGAGGAGGCCCTCTTGGGCCGTGTTGGGCCCATGTTGGGAGTCTGTTGGGCCGTCTCGGGGCGATCTTGAGGTCTCTTGGGCAGTGTTGGACGCGCTGGACCGCGGAACGTCATATAGGCGCAACATGTTTGCTTTCCTACGGGACAGGAGCACTTTTTGCTTGTTGAGGATCTCTAAGAGAGCCTCTTGAGGCTCTTTGGGGACTTCTTGGCGGCGTCTTGGGCCGTCTGGAGGCCATCTTGGGCGTCTTGGGACGATCGTGCGGGTCTTCAAGCTGGAAAGTTCAATTCGAGCTCCCCCGATGGGGCCCTTCGTGGGGCTGTCTAGGGCTGTCCAGGGGGCCTCGTGGGCCGTCTTGGGGCCCTCTTGGGCCGTGTTGGGCCCATCTTGGGAGTGTTGGGCCGTCTTGGGGCGATCTTGAAGGTCTCTTGGGTAGTGTTGGACGCGCTGGACCTCGAAACGTCGCTTATGCGCAGAATGTACGTTTTCCTACGGGAAAGGAGCACTTTTTGCTTGTTGAGGCTCTCTAGGAGAGCCTCTTGAGGCTCTTTTGGGACTTCTTGGCGGCGTCTTGGGCCGTCTGGCGGCGACCGAGGGCCCCTCGGACCGTATCGAGCACGTCACGGGGCTCTCTTGGAACGTTCTTGGGGCGCTCGGGAAAACCTGGAAGGCAGGGCCGAGGAGGAAAACCAACTCTGTGTCTCACCTGGCCGGGACCTGCCCCGGTATTTTTCGTTCGGGAACCCCAGGGGCCGCCCCACGCGGGCGAATTAGAACATTGTAAACCTGTTACTGGATTTCTTAGCACGCTTCTGGCCCGTTGGTCTTGCGAAAGTGTATACATGTACATAGATGTTAGCGTCTTTGTTGACAATTTACATGTTTTGTAGATTCTTCGGGGCAGATCAATGTTTGGGAACATCAATTCTGTAGTCGATCTCCTACTCAACCTCTGGCTGCCGAATCTCTTCGCGCTGTGAACAAAATCACGGCGGCAGGTTTCTTGCCTTTTTCAAGCTTTCTGCGGGCTTTTGCAAGGCCTGGAGGTGTGAAAGGGCGTGTTCTACCGCTGCTGGCGGAAAACAGGGGGGGGTCACTACCAGTTCGAACCCCTCCCCGCCCCCCCCTCTGGAAAACCGGGGGGGTCACTACCGGTTCGAACCCCTCCCCCCCCCCCAGTTCATCATGTCATCATGAAAAGGGGGGAGGGGGGGGTCAAAACCGGTTCGAACCCCCCCCCCCCCTCGAACTCGAAAACCGGGGGGGGTCACTACCCGTTCGACCCCCCCCCCCCCTCGAAAACCGAGGGGTGGTGCGGACAGTGGTGGGGACGGTGGTGGTGGGGACAGTGGCGAGGGGACA